AGAGGGTTGTGAGATTTGTAGAACAGCAAATGCTATTGTGTGATATTTCTTAGTGCAAATTTGGTCACCTTCAAACTACCTCCAAATCAAACTGCCTCCAAATCACCACTTAGCTGTGTTATTTCTGGAGTAAGACTTGTAAAATATGGTGATTTATATCACAGGTGTTAATTATAAATATTAATTTTCTTTCCTTAAAATGATAAATGTTAAATATATGATATTAAAGCAAAACCAGAAAGGATGAAAGAAAGGGAAATTTTATGCTTTTCAGAAAAGATGAAAATAGAAAATCTCTAAACCTGGCTAGCTGAAATAAGTAAAAATGTGGCATTTATGTATCTAAACTAGGGTTCAGACTGGCAAATCGTAAGCCAAATTGACTGGCTCTTAGGACCAAGGGCAGTGTGCCTGTAATTTTGTATAAATTTTCCTCCATGTCATCTAAAATGTATACATAGCCAGGCTTTCTTTCTAGAGCTGATGATTGAAGAATTCTACATTGAAATTGTATTATCTCAATGTTCTCTCTAAAGTGTATCCATGGTTATAGCAGTGTATAAACATGGAGTAAATTAGACAAGAAATGTGACTTTCAGACAAGGAAATGCCATGTGGAGCTAGAATCAAAGGAGAAAAGGGTCTCTTAACGTCTTCCTCAGCCATTTTCATTGTGAATGGTTGATTTTCACTGGGCTTCCTCTCCTGCTTCGTCCCTCCCAGAGCATGAAGGGGTCTTTGCAGAAACTTCTTTAAGATGTGCCAGTTCTCTATGCTGCTGATTTGAGGTCTGACAGCTTGAAAAAGTCCCCCTGTGGTGAAGATTTTCAGCAGCTATACTTGTCTTTTTTCCTTTGTATCTCAAAACTCTTTTCATTGAAAAGTCCATATGAACATAGCTTGTTCTTATGTGTTTCTCCACAAAGGGTAATATGCACTGAAATTAGACTCATGTAGCATTAATATTGCCCTAAATTTTCTTTCCCCTTTTTGCTTTCACCAAGACAGGGCTGTCTCTGCCATTATTCCTGACTCATTCTTTCCTGCATGTGTTTAATACGCTCATTTACCATTGATACACAGTTCCCTCACTCACATCCCCATTTCTTTTTTATTTTTTCAAGATTTATTTATTTATTTGACATAGAGAGAGAGATCACAAGTAAGCAGAAAGAGAGGGGGAAGTTGGCTCCCTGCCGAGCAGAGAGCCCGATGCGGGGTTTGATCCCGAGACTCTGAGATCATGACCTGAGCTGAAGGCAGAGGCTCAACCCACTGAGCCACCCAAATGCCCCTCACATCCCCATTTCTAACAACAGGTTGTGGTTTTCCTGGTTTTTACCAGACTTGAGGGAAAAAAAAACATTAAAGAGACTTCATTTTTTCCATCACACTGAAAAAGTGGAAAAAACAATATCCTCACTATTTACAAAAATTATGTAAATTTCCTATGTACTTTTTGGTGTGTTTGTTTTTGGTGATGTTAATGCCATAAGGATAGTAGCTTGTGTAGCAATAAACTACTAGGTACAAGTTATAACATTTAGCAGTTTTATTTCTCGCTCTTAGAATTAGATTAAGCACAATATAGTAATTAAGTCTGAAATTTGTTATTTCATCTTGTTACAAATAATTTGCAGTATTCAACTATTTGAAATACTGCTCATTATTTGAGCAAATGGATGAATATTTGTTAGAAGCAAAATCTAGTAGCTCTGAAACAAGGTCAAGAAGCTATTAAATAGGCAGAAATTTGACATAAATTGTTGCTTGATTTCAGATGCCTTAAATAATAGAATCTCAAGTGAATATTGAATTTCTCAAATGGTCATGCACTTACTTCTGTAGACAATAAAATGGAAATGACAAGGGAAGAAGGGAAGGAAGGGAGGAAGGAGAAATGAGGAAAAGGAGGAGGTGAGGGAGAGGAGGAAGGAGGGGAGAGAAAGAGAAAGAATGGAGGACAGAGAGAGAAAAGAGGGGATTGAGGAAAAGGAAGAAAGGAAAAAAATAGAGGGGGATAGAAAGGAAGGAAGGAAGGAAAGATGGAAAGGAAGGAAGGAAGGAAAGATGGAAAGGAAGGAAGGAAGGAAAGATGGAAAGAAAAAAAAACAAAGAAAGAAAGAAAGAGAAAGAGAGAAAGAAAGAAAGAAAGAAAGAAAGAAAGAAAGAAAGAAAGAAAGAAAGGGAGGGAGGGAGGAAGGAAGGAAGGAAGGAAAGAAAAGAAAGACATGTTCTTTCAGTGATGGCTTTATTTAATGAAAATAATTCTGTAGTATCATCTTATAATGCTCATGAGATAGCGCTTCCTGCATTTTACTATGATTGTTTCTTTAATTGTTCATCTTCACTAAAGCTTGTGTAGATGGAATCGTGTCTTTCTTGCTTGTTGTAATCCTTGCACAATATTTGGCATGAAGGAGTTGCTATAAATATATACCTATCTATATGTCTATATCTAATACCTATATCACAAAGAATGACATCAATTCCTATTTGTATAGTGCTAGAATTATTATTTTTCACAATGGCAAAAGGATAGAATGTGCGGGCCGTGTAGAGCAGTCTTTCAGTAGTGTACTCCAAGAATCCAGCAATGCCATAAACAGGTTGAATGCTGACCTTGGCCACTTCTTTCCTACCCTTCTAAGAGGGTAATCTTTGCCATGCATGAGAACACAATGAAGAAAAGCATGCCAAGGAAAGGAGGAATGCGGGTGAGTTTTAATCTAAGACTCTTAAAAGTCTGGATTCCCAGGCCCCAGCCCAAAATTTAGAATTAACATGGGGTGATGCCCAGAAAATCGGTGTTTAAAAGCTTCAGCCTGGGTTGAAAAACAACTGTTTAGTGGGTCAAATCAACCTACTTTAGTTGGACAAGGTCCCAAGTGGGGCCAGAGGTGGCATAGGGCTCACTTACCCTACCCCTGAGGAGGGAGTATCCGCTCGGAAAGCCCCACTAACACTGTAGTCCTCTCCACGTCCATTCCTTTGCTCCTGGCCCACTCTGGTTGTCCAGAGTGGACTGGGACTGGGAACGGAAGAGAGGGTAGAGGGACTGATGAAGAACAGACCTTGCCTATATGGCGGGATTTGGCCCATAGTACATATTTTGAAACAACATGCATTGGGCTGTCCTTAAACAAACACTTGTTGAGAAGCCACTGCATGCTAGTTCCTAGGCCCTGTGAATACAGCAGAGAACAAGACCAACCTAGTCCCTGTCTCACGGAACTTACATTCTGGGCACAAGGCAGAGAACAGACAAACAGCTGTGCCAATGCCATTGATATCAGTGAGATGGAAATTAAACCAAGGTCAAGAGTAGAGAGTGATGGGGACAGAATAAAACCTAGACTGGGTGGCCAAGGAGGGTAGTAGGGAAGAGGTGGTGTTTGAGCTGAGACCTCAAAGAAGAGAAGGAGTTAAGGTCAGAACCATATGGGAGCAGAGAGAACAGAAAGGGGAGAGCCTCTGGGTTGGGTGTGTCCTCCGCGTATCCAAAAAGAGAAAGTCCTTGGGGTTGGAATGGAGCGGGTCAGCTTAGAGGCTATGAGGAGTCTACAGTGTATCTCAAGTGTGACTCAAAGTCCCTGGAGAATTATGAGCAGGAAATGGACTCAATCTAATTTTGTTTTTAAAAAGATTACTCTGCTGCCGTGAGGAAAATGGGCCCAGTGTGCTAAGAGTAGAAGAAAGGCCACCAACTGGGAGACCATTGCAGTCATCCAAGTACATGACAGTGGTTTATATTAAGATAGATTGCGGAGGAAGGAGAAATAGCAAGATTCAGGGTATATTTGAAAGTGGAGTGGTGAAGACTTGCTGATGAAGATGGTGTTGGGATAAGAGAAAGAGATGATTCAGCTCTGCCACATGGTTATAAATACTAAATATCTGTAAGATGAATTCTGAATGCTTAGAACATAGTCAAATACATGAGAAGCACTGAAAATTCTTAGCTCTTATTAAACATACAAGCAAGTGTGTCAAATGGATAATTGTGTATTTAAGTTTGCAGCTCAGTGGGGAGGGTGGAGATGCACGTTTGGGAGTTCCGAGGATTTGGTGGCATTTAAAAACCACTGGACTCCATGAGATCTTAAAGGGGATAATTAGATTCCATAATCTTATCATGGAATAAGAAGGTGGACAAAAGAGCCCTGGGACACTTGGACATAGACTTGAGAGCAAAGAAGAAGAGGAGACAGGAGGAAAAATGAAAAGAAAGGAGGGACACCTGGGTGGCTCAGTTGGTTAAGTGTCTGCCTTCAGCTCAGGTCATGATCCCGGGGTCCTGGGATAGAGTCCTACATTGGGCTCCCTGCTCAGTGGGGAGTCTATTTCTCCCTCTGCCTGCCACTCCCCCAGCTTATGTGTGCGCTCTCTCTCTGACAAATAAACGAATAAAATCTTCAAAAATATATAAAAAGAAAGAAGAGTAAAAAGTCGAGGCTAAGACATTCCTCCAAGAAGGAGCAAGTACCTCAGAGAAATGGCAAGTTTTCAAGGGAATCTTCTGAAAATTTCAAGCCGAAAGCTTAAAAAGGTGACCCGCGACTTCCAGTGGTCAGTCTCAGACTGCATTGTTTTTGAACTCTCGCTGGGATTATTCTAGTCAGTGCATCTAAAAACACTTTACTCAGTTAACTTTCAGGACTCTCCATGTGCCAGAATTTTCTCTCTCTTCTTCGTGTCTTTTTATTATTTTTCCCACTCAATGAAGCAAGCAACACTTCCCCCACCACGCCTGCCTTTCAAACTGAAACAAGTTTTATTTTCCAGAATACCCCCATTCTAGAAGCACGAGTTTTGCTTTCCACGAGAATGCCTGTTTACGAACTGCTCAGGCCATTATAGAAAGGCCTCTAATATATACACACGTTGGGTGTGGAAAGAGCCATTATTTACATAAATAAGGTATTTTCAAAATCATATGTAAATTTCAAAATTTAAATTTGAGTTCAAGATGCCCATAGCTCTTGAATTCATTCTTTCAGGCGAGAGAACGCTGCCATCTGGAAAGTGGTGTTTGGCATCAACAATCTGGACCACCCGTCGACGTTCATGCAGACACGCCTGGTGAAGACCATCATCCTGCACCCTCGCTATAGCCGAGCCGTGGTGGACTATGACATCAGCATCGTGGAGCTAAGCGAAGACGTTCATGAAACCAGCTACGTCCGGCCGGTCTGCTTGCCCAGCTCAGAGCAGGCCTTGGAACCCGATACGTACTGCTACATCACGGGCTGGGGGCACATGGGCAACAAAAGTAAGTCAGGAGCCTCAGCAATGCTTGCCTCTCCCTTTATACCCCAGTACCACTGTGCTACCTCCCAGGCTTTGGCAACAATTTCTGGTTTCCGCTTCTAGAAGTGGAGCCACAAATGGCAAATGGGAGAGGGCAGTACTTCGTGGTACTTAGACCTGCCACACTCAGAGGCAGCCTCACAAATCCTTCTCCACACCTCAGATTTTCTACTCAGAGAGCTACGACCCAGGTTGTGGAGCCACCATGCAAGAGAAGGCCTGTTGGTCCTCCTGGCTTGAGACCATCTTACCAGTGATTCCCGCCCCGCAGGCAGAGTCTCTCGGAGCCTCTCTCAAGCAGCTGGGCTGTTCCAATCCCCCCATCAAGCTGCACACGTGGTCCTATTTCCTGTTCTGTGTTACGATTTGGTCTTCTCAACATCTATAACACAGCCTGTGAGTCCGTCCAGAAAGAAAACTGACTTGCTATTTCCCTATTTAAATTGATTAAATTTGGCTCCCTGGGTGATTTAAACATATAAAACCTATAAACATTAAAGAATCTGTACTCTCTACTCCCAGCCCCCATAATGGACCCCCTCATTTGGTTTGAACTATTAAAAGTGTAGAATAAGACTGTAATCAATGAGATAGCTTCTTCAACAGCAAGTGCTGGCCACTCTGACTTTCTCAAGAGTAACGCCATGCTCTCGGGAATGGTGAGGGATGTTGGCGTCGCACTCTCTACCTTGGCAACTGCCAATCTGAAGCACAAATTTTTTGTTCCTTAAAATTTAGTCAGATAAGTTTTGGGCTAAGTTGAGTTTCTTTTCTACATAATCAATTGACAACAAAGAAAAAGCCGAGAAACAGAGGTGAGTCAATGACTTCCGAAGCGCTCCCATGAAAGACCTTCGAAGGCTGTGTTGGACATATGACGTCACCATTCCTGTAGACCTCGGTTTTTCAAAGCTATAATTAGTAATGTGGTGTGATATAACAGCAGATATACTTTATATCACCCTTCCTTGTATTGTTTCTATAATATCTGCATCAGACTCAGAACAGTCATGTAGCATCATACATACCACACATATGGTGTAGCGTAAAGGGTGGGGGTCCGAATTCAGTGAGAAAGGTCTGATTGACCCTGAATTCCTAGCTTACCATAAAGTGGAAGAAAATAATAGCAACTGTCTAATTCACAGGATTATTGTAATGATTCAAGACTGTAGGCCCAGAAAACGCTGAGTGCACGTCCAGACCTACCACTAGTACCCAATAACGTTAGTGATGGTTCCTATTACCATTTTTTTAACAACTCTCCAAAACTGTTTCCATCATATTGATTTTCCAGACGTGCTTCTTTCTTCCCATAAGCTACCCTGTATATAATATACACTGCTTCACCATCACTATCTAAAAGGGGAATGATGTGTATAATTTGTAGGTCTCAACAACAAAAGATTATGCTTCAGGAAACCCATTATTATTCCGTGAGAACTTAGAAACAGATAGAATTTGTGTGTTCCCTCTGCTGATAGCAAGGGATGGCTTTGTTCCTTTCAACATCTTTCTATCATCCCTTCAAGAATTACAGGTTCTGGGACACCTGGGTGGCTCAGTGGATTAAAGCCTCTGCCTTCGGCTCAGGTCGTGATCTCAGGGTCCTGGGATCAAGCCCTGCATCGGGCTCTCCGCTCAGCGAGGAGCCTGTTTCCCTCTCTCTCTCTCTGCCTGCCTCTCTGCCTACTTGTGATCTCTCTGTCAAATAAATAAATAAAATCTTAGGAAAAAAAAAGAATTACAGGTTCTTTCCACCGGTAATGACCATGGTAACGGCCATGGTAACATGGTGAGACACAGTCTTTAAACCTAAGATAGAGTCCCCCTTCCCCTGTTAGACCCAATGGACGAGCTGGGCTAACCCACCATCTGGGGCAGGGCCCTGGCTTGATTTTTTTCTTTTCATCATGTAGCTGTTGTTCTTGTTGAAGCATATATTAAGAGGGGAAAAGCATGAGCCACGTTACCTAACCAAGTTATTGATCCCATCCGTGCCTCAGTTTCTCATTAATAAAATAAAGGTGTTTGACTAGATGATCACTGTCAACACTTCTCACTGAAAATTCTGATGCCAAACAAGCCTTGTCTTTGGAATGGCATTTTAAGTAAATATGGTTCTCTGGGTATACAGAGGTAATCATTTCCTGTACGGCTTAGCCTCATTTTTGAGTCAAATTGCCCTCTTAGATCTTTTGTTTCTTTTTCTTTTTTAAAACCCCAGTGCCTTTTAAGCTGCAAGAGGGAGAGGTCCGCATCATCTCCCTGGAGCAGTGCCAGTCCTACTTCGACATGAAGACCATCACCGCGCGGATGATATGCGCCGGCTATGAGTCTGGTACCGTGGACTCGTGCATGGTAAATTGCTTTCCGCGTCGCGAGGACAGTCGGTTCTGTGGTCACGTCAGTGGGGGCCCTATAAACTCATTATTATTCACATGCCACCCTTCAGGAATAGTTTTCGGAGATTGCTTATTACCCGAGGTTTAATTATTCACAGTCTGTACTCTCTCTGGTGCCCAAGCGACCCCCCTCACTACCTCCGTGCCCTTCGCTCCAGTTGCCTTTGGCTCTCTCACCTGCCGCCTGCGACCAGCATCCCATCAGGGTGATGGCAGTAAAGCCCACACCCACATCCCAGCTTCCAGGGTGTGTGACAGAATGACCTTTGTCTCTGGAGTCGATCGCAGTGGTGTTGCCTGGGCCTGCCTCTGATTGCCAGCATGTCCTGAGCGATCACCGGACAGGACCTTTCAACACCCAGGGTTTCCGGTCATGGTGGTTTGCCGAGCGTGCTACCTTCCAAAGCAGGGAGGTGTTTTTATTTTTACCCAATAAATGCTCATTGACTATTGGACTGGCTCCCAGGGCAGAATAAAAAGGTACAAGTGCTCAAAGAAGCTTACTTTTTTTCCGATTTTTTAATCTTAATTCCAGTGTACTTAAATACAATGTGATGCTAGTTTCAGGGGTACAACAGAGTGATTCCACACTTCCATGCGTCACCCTGTGCTCGTCATGACATGTGCGCTCCTTAGTTCCCATCTCGGATCACAACCATCCCCCACCCACCTCCCCTGCGATAACCGGAGGTTTGCTCTCTACCACTATGAGTCTGTTTCTTGGCTTGTCTCTCTTTTTCTCCCCTATGTTCATCTGTTTGTTTCTTAAATTTCACATATGAGTGAAATCATACAGTATTTGTCTTTCTCTGACTGACTTTGCTTAGCATACTGTCCTCTAGCCCCATCCATATCATTGCAAATGGCAAGACTGCATTCTTTGTATGGCCGAATATTCCATTGTATATGTGTACACATCTTCTTTATCCATTCTCTCAATGGAATGGACAGTTAGGCTGTTTCCACAGTTTTGCTATTGTAAATAATGCTGTGGTAAACACAGGGGTGCACCTATCCCTTTGAAGGAGTGTTTTTGTATTCTTTGGGTAAATATCCACTAGTGCGATTACTGGATCATAGCGTGGTTCTATTGTTAACTTTTTGAAGAACTGCCATACTGCTTTCCGCAGTGGTTGTACCAGTTTGCATTCCCACCAACAGGGCAGGAGGGCAGGTCTGTCTCCACACCCTCACTAACACTTGCTTCTTGAGTTTTTGATGTTGGCTACTCTGACAGGTGGAAGGTGGTATCTCGGTGTAGTTTTGATTTGCATTTTCCTGATGATGAGTGATGTTGAACATCTTTTTTGTGTGTCTGTGGGCCATCCGGGTATCTTCTTTGGAGAAACATCTGTTCATGTCTTTCGCCCATTTGTTGATTGGATTTGTTTTCAGGGTGTTGAATTGTAGAAATTCCTTATCAATTTTGGAAACTAACCCTTTATCAGAATGTCATTTAAAAATACCTTCTCCCATTCCATAGGCTTTTAGTTTTGTTGATGATTTCCTTCACTGTGCAGAAGCTTTTGATTTTGATGTAGTCCCAATAGTTTATTTTTGCTTTTATTTCCTTTCCCTCAGGAAACATATCTAGAAAATATTGCTGTGGCTGGTATCAGAGAGATTACTGCCTATGCTCTCTCCTAGGACTTTTTATAGTTTCAGGTATCATATTTAGGACTTTAAAATTTTTGAGTTTATTTTTGTGTATGGTGTAAAAAGGTAGTCCAGTTTCATTCTTTGGTGTGTAGCTGACTAGTTTTCCCAGAACTTGTTGGAGGGAGTTTTTCCCATTGGATATTATTTCCTGCTTTGTTGAAAAGTAATGAACCATGTAATTATGGGTTCATTTCTGGGTTTTCTTTTTTTTTATGATTTTAAAGATTTTTATTTATTTATTTGACAGACAGAGATCACAAGTAGGCAGAGAGGCAGGCAGAGGGAGAGAGGAGGAAGCAGGCTTCCCGCTAAGCAGAGAGCCCAATGCAGGGCTCAATCCTAGAACCCTGGGATTATGACCTGAGCTGAAGGCAGAGGCTTTAACCCACTGAGCCACCCAGGCGCCCCTTGGGTTTTCTGTTCTGTTCCATTGATCTATGTGTCTCTTTTTGTACCGGTATCATACTGTTTTGATTACTACAGTGTTGCAATATAACTTGAAGACTGAAATTCTGATACCTCTTGGCTGTTTGGGGTCTTTTGTGGTTCCATATAAATTTTAGGATTGTTTGTTCTAGTTCTGTGAAAAATGCTATTGGTATTTTGATAGGGATTGCATTAAATGCATAGACTGCTTTGATAGCATAGACATTTTAACAATATTTGTTCTTCCAATCCATGAGCATGGAATGTCTTTCCATTTCTTTGTGTCATCTTTGATTTCCTTCATCAATATTTTATAGTTTTCAGAGTACAAGTCTTTCATCACTTTGGTGAAAAAACAATTCCTATAAATGGATTTTTTTTCTTAATTTCTTTTTCTGCTTCAAAGAAGCTTATAACAGAGTGGGGAAGGCAGTTATTATATGCCCCAGCTAGGAAACACTTTAGTTATTACGCTGTTGTGGGGTAGATCAGATCGCCCCTCGTATTTTTGAATTGAAGAAGAGTTTGACAATGTTATTACTGCTAACCCAACATAATAAAAGAACACTTTTGGTAGCCTGTTTCAGAATGGGCAAATCAGAGGACCGGAAATGGCCCAGTGGTGATTCCTTCGTTGTCGTGGGAAACAGGGAGGCCAACAGATCACTTGGCGTTTCACCAAGGTCACAGTCTCTTCTGCCTCCTGGCCATGAATCAGTTGAGGTGGGCTGCCTTCAGGCAAGAGGCCCAGGTCTGATTTCCCAAGCCAAACACACCAAAAAAAAAAAAAAAAAAAAAGAAAGAAAGTAAGTGTTTGGGAAGGCAGCATGATATGGGGCTTGAGACACAGGATTTGCAGCCTGAAACTTTTGGCTTGAATCCCATCTCTGCCTGTAAGAACAACGTGACCTGGAGAAGTTATCTAACCTCTCTAGCATCACAAGCTGGGGCTGATTCTAATTTTCTGGGTGTTTTGAGGATTACCTGAGCCAATGTAGGTGAAAGCCCATCTTTCACTTCCCCACATGTGATGTCTGACACGCTCACTCAGTGCACAGTAACTGTATAATTAGCACTGATCAGTTAGTGCTTGTTGTGTTCCAGTGCTAAGAACCCATTTAAGCCTCATCAGCCGTTCTTGTGGCAGTGTTACTGTTTTTGCTGTTTTAGAAATCAAGAAAACAAGGGAGCTGAGAGGTTAAGTCATTTTCCCCATCTTGCCCGGCATGAAGGTGGTAGAGTGAGGCTATGAGCTCAGAAAGTCTGGCTTCAGAGTCCAAGTGCTCGACCACCACACTCTCCTGGGAACAGTGATTCGTGTGCATACATTTTTCCCTGTCCCCAGGATGGTTTGGAGTTGTGCCCCAGACTGGTATCTCTTCATCTCTCAGCAATTGCTAAAGGAGCAGGGAGGAGATTCTTTCAAAGAGACTTGAAGTCCAAGCATAGGCACGCTTGTGTCATGTTGTCCGATAGGAGCTAGGTCCAGCCAGCCTCGGCAGTAGTGGGAATTCGACACTGTGGTGGGCTTCAATGCATACCAGGTAGTCTCCGGTACATCCCCACGGAGAAAACAAAACAAGTCCTCAAAAGCTCCTTTTGACCAGGTCCAGAGCAAGATCATTCACAGAACCTCTCATTTTCTTCCTCCCTGGCATCCGTAGGACACTCTGGAAGCTGTGGACCCTTCTGTTAAGGTCTAGAAATCATGTTAAGGTCTAGAAATCCTGGGGATCAATACTGAAGCCAAGCCTAAACTTTGTCCGAAAGCCCAATATTACGAAAAGGGGACCGGAAAAGAGCGAAATGTGCCCTTTCCTGTATTCTCCGTTGCATTCGAATTGCTTCTTCCTCCCCTTTTTGCACCTGACAAACGTCTATTTGTCTTATGAGGCCTCGCTCAAAACTCACACCTTGGGAAGCTACTTTTCGCTCCCCCTCCAGCAGGCCGTAATCCCTCATTCCTCTGACGACTCCTTTGTGTACTGGCCCTTGGACCTGGCTTTCAAGTAGAGTTATGCTTCTTACCCAAGCAGACTTTTGGTCACTCAGAGACAAAAAATCCTGTCTCCGTCATCTTCATAGATCCTACAGACTCTAGCAAAGAGTAAATGCCAAGCAATTATTTGGCTTAAATCTTAATCTGGAAGTATAGAGATGCTGACCTGTACACGTCCTGTTTTGTTTTTTTAAGTGCTAGTTACATTTATTTTTATTGACAATGTCTCTCAGTATACGGAATTCCCAAGTTACCATGTGCCCCTTTCCCATTCTCCTCTCTGAAGAGCCTTTTTTTTTTTTTTTTTGAAGAGCCTTCTTTTTTGAGAGGCAACATAGGTCCCATTTGAATCACTCTCTGGCATAATAAACAGCTCAATGTCAGTCAGCATCTTAGCATTCCTTTTATATGAGGGGAGGTGAAAAAAATCGTGGAATATGTCTAATAAAATGTTTTTAGTAAATTTTGCTTTTAAAAACTCAACTAGGCTTTCAGGCACTCATTCAACCCCTTCTGAGGACCATCATTATTTAGGCTTATGGCGTTGGTCAGCCATACACATAAAGATGGCTGTTTCCACAGAGGCACACAGCACAGTCAAAAATCTCATTTTGCTCGAATAGCGGTGGTATCTTCTCACACTTCTGAGAGGAGAGCCCAGTAGTTACAGAGTCAGAGTCACGGTCATGGACCGCGTGGGTCTAATTCGAGCACTGCCCATGAACAGGGTACACACCTGTGCCGCAGTCTCATCACATGGATATTGTAATAATTCTTAGCAACTCATAGGGATCTCCTGAGCAGTAAATGAGCAAATCCAAGGGAAAGTGTTTAGAGGAGCATTGATAAACCTAATTACCATTTTTCTCCAACATGACCAGGGGGACAAGACCAGCTATGGAATTCCAAGTTTGACATCCTTATAGGGCAGGAGTCTGTGTAAATTCCCACCATGAATTCATATACTTACTTCCTTATTTTTCTAGGCTATCGATCCCTCTCTTTTGAGGCCATGCGGAACACACCTAATCTCTGATCTTTTCAGATGTAACCAATATTCATGCTTAGAATGCTGAAGGGTCTCACTGCTTATCCCATGTGGGCGAAAGAACAGCCCGCCTGAAATGTCAAGAATGAAAATCTCCGTGCACATGAGATAGAACCAGAGGTGACAAAGAGAATACTTTGCTGTAAATAGTTCGATGTGCTCTTTAACATTCACGTGCACTAACTGAAAAAAATCCCAAGAACTGTTAAGAAACGCAGCAAGTTGCCAGTGTCTTTTACTAAATGCACTCATTCACAAAGCAAGAATCTTGAAAACAAAGTTATTCTGGAATATTTTTCTAGTACTATTGTGTGGAGAAAAGAAAATCTTTGATTTGAATGTTCCATTTTGGGTACTTTCAACATTCATAAAGTGGCGCAGTTAGAAGAATGAGATCAATTAGGAGAGAATTTGTTCTGATACACTAAATTTAAAAAAAATTATGACCTATTTTGATAAGCACAGGAAATGGCTGAGAAGTCTGATTTCATGGAAATAAGAATGTAGTCCTTTTCCAAGGGACCCCCATTCTTTTAAAGATCGGGGTTTAAAATGTGCATTTGAACGTTCATCTATGTAGTGGAAAGCGTACTCCCTCCAGTTGGCAATGAAAACTTTGGTTAAACTTTCCAAGAAGTTGGCTAAGCTGGGTTTGGTTTCATTGTATCCCAGGCAGGCTCTAACATACCAGTGACTAATGTCCACTGCTGTTCATTACAGGGTGACAGCGGTGGGCCCCTCGTTTGCGAGCGGTCTGGAGGACAGTGGACATTATTTGGTTTAACGTCGTGGGGCTCCATCTGCTTTTCCAAAGTCCTGGGGCCTGGAGTTTATAGCAATGTGTCCTACTTCATCGAATGGATTGAAAGACAAATATACATCCACACCTTTCTCCTGAACTAATTCCAAAGATGATGCGAGACTTTTGCCAGCTGCACTCAAAGAAAATGGCCTTGTCGACTGTGGAGAGCTTCCTGCAGAGAGCTGTCCAGAAGCACTTTTCACGGACAGGGATGCTCAGCGGTACACTGCAAATGTTCATATTTGTTTTGGTCTAATTTTATTCAGTTTTTTTCAACTTCAGTTTTCTCTTGTTTCAAGTTTAATGACAGTCTTTAAAAAAAAAAAAAAAAAAAGCAGATTTTGTTCTTTTGCCAAACCTAATCTTGACCATAGCACAAAATAATCAGCTCTGGAATAAGGCAGGTGGCAGGGTAGGAGGTTCTAGAAAATTCTCTTTATTCCAGTGACAAAGAGGACATCGAGATCCAGGCTGACTAATCTTTGCCAGCTTTTGTTTCTCAAGCACAACAGCATAGTGGCAAATTTCAATATTAATATTGGAGACTTGCTTCTGATTAAGAGCCAAGACAATTTACATGCTTAAATTATTTACTATTACTCAAGTCTGCATAATTCTGAAAACCAATGAAAGACAGTCCGAGGTAGAAGACGAGCAGCATCCATTTAGGTGGCTAAAATGGTTAAGACGTACTGAACACAATGCTGCTTAGATACCAGCACTAGCATTTAAGATGATAGGACTGCACGTTCTGAACTTAACTCAAGGATGTAACTTTACAGAGGAGTCTTTGTAGAACCTTCCCTATAGCTGGGATTCCTTCAGCGTGTATCACTTGGCTGACTGAGACCTCAGTAGCTAGAATATTCCTGGGAAGCATTTTGTTTCACCTGTGTGACAATGAATGGAGATTGAACTTTGCCCAAGGAGAACTTGCTTTAGTCTGGAGAGATTCAATTTTTGAAAACAAAAATTAAATTGCACCCAACCTCCAATTCAGTATTTTCCAACTTTCCTGTGTTCGCCCATAATGATAAAGTCACGGAAATGCCTCTCAAAGCGCAGTTCAAGCTGGCATGGAGTAAAACATTTTATAATTTGCCTTGAAATGTGTTTAATGTCTGATGTTCTCACATGCTTTTAAGCGCTAGGCCTCTTTATGCCCAACAATTTCCGATGGGCATTCCATAAAAGTGGTTAAAAGTATTTTCCTTCCCACTAAAAAGCTTCAAAATATAACTTGTCGCACTAGGTAATTTAATTAGGCATCCATTTTGCAACATCTAAATGCCTTGGGAACAAGGAGGATTCCCCACTTAACTTCACCAGCACCGGGGACTGCCTCAGCATCCCACACAGAGACTTACTGCAATTTTATACCTGTGTTTTTGTACTCTTTTCTATGTTTGCACATATTTCAAATTCGAGAAGTTGCCTTGACACTTCCCATGTTCTTCATCTCCTGTTCTGGAGTTTGTATAAGCCTCCTAAGAATGTGAAATCCAGCAATGGAATTAGGGTCAGGATTGTGTGAAAGTGTAAGAACACATGTCCGTTCTGTTATAGTTCTGTTAAGTCTGTACCCATACTTCACGTAAAACTGTCAGCCTTGCTCCACTTATGTTCAGGCAAGTATACCTACTGTACTTATTCTAAATAACCCTAATACAGGGTGCCTGGGTGGCTCAGTTGGTCAAGCGACTGCCTTCGGCTCAGGTCATGATCCCGGGGTCCTGGGATCGAGTCCCATATCCGGCTCTCCCTGCTCTGCGGGAAGCCTGCTTCTCCTTCTCTCTCTGCCTGCCGCCGCTCCCCCTGCTTGTGCTCTCTCTCTGTCAAATAAATAAATAAAATCTTTAAAAAAAAAACAACCCCTTAATAAAAATAAAATGGTACAGTCCTTTTTTTTTTTTTTTTTTTTTTAATGGACATGGAGCATGGATAATAGCAAGTCCCAGAAAACCAGGCCTCCCCCTCTAATAGCTGGCTGGCCTCCAGCCACCGACCAATCCAAATTTACCTGTCGTGTCTCACTGTCACAGGAACACGCTCTTTTACTTTAGGTGATGGACGGCTCTCTGAATGAGAGGTTCCTAATAGTTTCAAGTCCCTTAAGTGTCCAAAGAAGACTTTAATCCTGGTAAGAATGCAAGGAATCTTTCATGTCTAGAGTACATTTTGGGAGCCTGATACAATAATTCTTTCACAGGTCTTTTGGGGTAAAATTACGGCAAAATGTAAACTATTAATCAACAAATATAATCAATCAATAAAATGTAAACTATTAATAAACCATGAATCAATAGGAACAATGATACTATGCTTGTCCCCCAAAATTCGGTAAAATACACGGAATACCAAAACACTATAGACCCCATCAGCTTGGGTAACTGCGTAAAAGTTATTTACTTGTGAATGAGATCATTTAAAGGCTTGATACAGATCTCAAATCTCTTTCACCCAAGGGCCAGATATGTTTCAGAATCCAGAATATTTCAGAGTTTAAAAAATACAATTTAGCACCCAGTAATAAAATACATTTTTATAGCAAAATATCTGGATAATTACATTAAATAAATTGTTTTACATCTGTTTAGGACATTGAATTTGTGCCTAATTTATGAACAATTTTTCAGTTTCAGAGCTCTTGGGATTTTGGAATTGTGGATAAGAGACTGCGGACTCATGACATAAACACTCAAGACTTCCTTCTACTTTTACGTATGGGTACTTGACATCTGGGAGATTGACTTTTCCCCTCGGTCCTCTTGGCTTATTCTTTTTACCTTTAGATTCTGACCCTTTATTTACATTCAGGGAATGAATGTCAGCTGCTATGGGGATAACAGATGACAGGACATGACTGACTTTTCCATATAAGAAAAGGCCATTACAATATTCTGGGAAAGGGTGGGCTTTGGGATTTTCCTTCTAAGCTCTGGTACCAATTACTGTTGGGCTCAGTCATATGTATAGAAGTAATGACAGTTTTTTGTACACATGATTTATTAAACAGTTTATCTTAAAAAATCATTAAAGAGAGCAGAAAGCAACCTCCAACAGCCATGTGGGATTTTGAAAGTTCTAAAAATCAGTCTCTATGAAAGACTATTTGTGGTAATATCAGACAGTTAGAAAAAAAATGTCAGACCAGGACAAAGAGGCAGGAGGAGAAGATGAAGCCCTGAGGATAAGAGATAAGAGGATAAGAAATGAATAGTCATAAGACCTTGATACAGACATAGAACATCAGCATGGAGATTTCGGGAAGGAGATTCTGGGTGGTTAGTGGCTGACAATTTTCAGATGAATAGATACTGAATTTTAAAAGAACTCAACAAAAATAGATGATCTTGTAACATCTGGGCTTAGTTGGTAAACTAGTCTCTCTGTTCTAACCAAAGCCAACACACATGATTTGCAACAGCAGCTAGCTTGCTATCGACATTCCTGTCCTAAAAAGTGTTTAAAAACAAAGTTTTCTAAGAACCTCATGGAATTCTGAGAATCACCTGTATTAGTCTCAATGCATAATATCTCATTTTTAAAGATTACAACTCTGGAGACCTAGTAGGGTAATGTAAAGACTATGAACCCTCAAAATGGTCTCTTGAAGATTGTTTTCAAATTGATTGTCTCATTTTGATCAGGCTATTTTAAGTTTCAGAATACAGGAAATTGCCAAGTGGCTACAGTAGGCTGATTGTGTCTACCCTACCAATGGCCTATGTTTCCCAGTGGACATCTGCACAGAGACAGACCTCATAAAAAGTCTTCTCTTGCCTGAAAGCTGAGAGAGAAACATATTCCTGTCGAACCCTGGCACCCATCTGCCCCCTCCCCATGAAGACCCTGCCTCAAGGAACACCAAAATGAGCAGAGAGGTCTGCCTTACATGGGCAGTCAGATGACCAAAGGCATCTTCCTGGAGGAAATAAAAAGCTATTAATAATCACCACATTTTCAACAGTACAGTTATTACTCTATTTTAGGTACATTGTCATTTAAAAGGCTCTTTGGAGTTTTTCCTCTAGAAATTAACCATTTATAACATTTTTATTTCCATGTGGAAATCTCTTCTGCGTTCCAATGGATCTAAAAACTAGTTTTTGTTCATGAGAGAAAATTCAGATTGGAGTCTGCTCACTGAAAGCGTTTCCCTAGAATCTGAGATCTCTCAATAAAATAAATATATCTCAAATGAATCCCTTAAGAATGTCTGCACGCCTAAGACAATTAAAATGCTTCTACAAAATCCAAAAAGTTTCATAAAAGCATTTGATTCGGAATGGAATATTTCACCTCCCTAAACTCAGTTCAGGCCCAACTGCAACCTCTCAAATGTATCTACAAACATACAAGAAAGGTCATCACATTGGCTTTTCTGGGCACAGAAGAATCTTCGGGTCCCTTAGGGAAAAAGCCACCTGGTTCTTGCTTGATAGAGGTGCCTCTTCAAAGTCCCTCTTCCAGATTTGAAGGGAGACTTGTCACCCCAAGGAGGATACCCTGCTTTTTTTTTTTTTTTTTTTTTTTTTTTTAGCCCTCTGAGGTCCCCGCCATCCCTGAGGTCTTAGTTTCACAGAAGTCTGAGTCCAAGGGAGTTTCATGTACAGAGAAGCTTCCCCGCTTGACAGCACAGGACGGTGCTGACATCATCGCCAAGGCAGCAGACGGGCCAGACGTGGCTCTCTTCTCTGACTTGGCAGCGGAGTGGTCAGCACACTGGGATGGCGCGCGGCCCAGCGTTCCGGCCCCTCTCCACTTCTTGAGAGCTTCAGTCCTCTCTTCTGGAGTCAGTCTGTCCAAGTGCTGAGCCCTCCGAACTGGAGACGGAAACAGGGATCCCTGAAGAACTCGGTATGTAAACCTAGGTTCCAAAAAGCATCACAGAATTAGAGTCACCGCAAACGCAGCATGGGACACAGCAAGTACTCACCAGCTGGGAAAAGTGGAAGTTTTCTAGGGCTACTGGGACACGTCACTGCACGCTTGTCCCTTTCGGTCCCTGTGGGCAGCGCGGACGCTGGACAGCACCGCCATCCACCCTGTGGGTCTCCCACTCCTCTAGGCCATTAGATGGGGTCCTCCATGGGGCTTC